ATGGCAGCAGGGTTGGCAGCAACATCCCTTGGACAGTGGAGCCTCTCAGGAGCCCTGCCTCTCTGGCACAGCAAGTTCAGGAGGATCGAGAAACTGAGCACTATGGAAGGTTCCCAGTTGGATAGCCGAACTGTACATACCCTCTTGCAGTACATCAACGCCTGCTTGCATGAATTGACTGCACCAGAAAAGGTCACTGCAATTGACCGTTGGACTCTTAACCTTTTGCCAGCAGCGTGAGTGTGTCGCAGCTAGTGGCCTCAGGTTGGTATTGGGTTGCTGGCATGATGTGTAACAGATGAAAGAAGGAGTCCATCGCCAGACTAAACTAGCTTCAGTGCACTCGGGAATGGGCATCTCATTATTTTGATCTGCCTACCACTGCTCTGCAGTTTGTAACTTCTCCGGATGGTCATGACATTTTTCGTGGTTCTTGACACAAGTTCTATTTTGCCAACTGGGGCATATTCCCTTTCCATGGCATAGCTGCTCATGGCTTTCATGACTCAAGCTGCCGCTTCGCGAGGCTTTACCATATGGACCCCTCAGCCGAGATACCGGGTCACCAGTACTTTATATGCCATCACCTGCGTAATCACAATTGTGACGCCAGAGACAGCTGCGTCTAGTGCACAACGCTAGCATATGTATCACTATTGCTCAACGTAGCACTATATTCCTGATTAGATTGTTCTCATGAGGATAATGGGGCAGCTATCTATAGATATTGTTTGACAAAAACCACCAATATGTTTAGATGTTCTTTTTACCAGACAAGAAAAGCAAGGCATCCACCTGTTGTGCCCGGATACCCAAAGCTTATCCTCTCAACTCGTGGCATGAAACAACATAGTATCGGCTGCCAGCGGGCGAGCGAGTGGTCGTGTATACACAAACTGCCATCCCCAGATGTGTCTTCCCTCCATAAACTGCATAGGATCTGTGGGAAAAGCGGTCATTCAGCAAGGGGTACATGCTGCGGCATACGATAATTGCGCCCAATAACCACAACCGGGCAAGGTGAATTCTCTACCAGGTAGTTTGACCTTGCTCCCGATAAAGCGCTCTTTCATGGACTTTGACGCGTGAGATCCAACCACCAGCAGATCGCACTTGAGCTCCATCAGCTTGCGCACCAGCTCGCCGCGAATGTCAACGCCGCGAATCGAGACTCCCTTGATCGGATACCCCTCGGCCTTGATCATCGACGCATACTTTTTGAGCAGCTCATGGCTCTTATCGCGCTCAGCAGCCTCCTTGGCCGAGTTAACTGCTGTCAAGTCGCCAATAAGCCCATTCACAGCCGGCCGCACGTGGATCAGTACTACCTTGTCGCGGTTTGGGACCAGGATCTTTTGGATCGACCAGCTGATGATACAATCGGTTTGCTCGCAGTCCTTGATAGCGATTGCTACGAAGCGCTCGGGAAGCGGTGTTTTCGTGCTGTCCGAGCCGCGTCTCCGTGACTTGCCAGATGGCATGCCTCGTGGCTCGATGTCAGGAATTTCGATTAGAGTTCCCTTGCGAAATATCGATGGGTGGCTGATGCCTGTGGGCGACATTGGGCCATGTGCAGCCTGCTCAGCATTCTGGGCTACGAGTCTGTCAAATACGTTGTCTAAATTTGACGCCTGACGTTCCGATGGATCAGAAAATGGCATTATGCTGTTGCTAGTATCGACATATGGGATCGGGATCGAGGGTGGTATACTGCCAGTAGTGTTCTCCGACATAATACAACTTTATAGGTGATTTACTACGGTGGAAAGTGTGCAAGGTGTGGTAGCAGTTGACAAAGAGAGGAAAGAGTTGACTGGCCGCGCGCCAACCGGCTTCCAAGGGTTTATTATAATGCGGAGGCGTGGAACACGCGCATGACAAGCCCATGACCTTGTGCAAGCATGCGGAGGAGGGGCTTGGGGATAGGGTTTGCACGCGGCTCTTCATTTGACCAGCAAATGCGGGTGTGCTGGCCAGCAAAAACATACGTCGACCGGCAGAATCTGATATCCAGCACAGGGGCATTTAGCGCTGTTAGCCGCATATCGAGCCCTCGCCCCACATGCCGCCACCGGCGTTGATCGGCACCTGCTTGATCCCTAGATCGACCACCACAAAGAGCCAATCAGTGCCAGCCAACCACCCGGCTCTGATAAAATGCTGCTACGTGCCTGGCTGAGAGGAGCTGGCGCTGGGAAACCCGCCACCTTCCACGTAGCTGGTCGCGTCAAGGCTGCGAATGAGCAAAGCAGCTGGAGGCAGCAGCAGGCTTGCTTGGCGCTTTTCATCAGTACAATCCACTCCAGGCGCATTTTCTTTCTCTGTTCGTAAAATTCTATTATTCATTGCTGCCGCAATCTTGCCCGTCCTTCTTCCTTATTTCCACTCATAACGAAACAAGACAACCAGTCAGCGCATTTTACATTGCTGAAACGCGATTGCCAGGAAAAAAAGGAGCGAACTACAATTAGACGATATATACATCTAAAATGGTACGCATTTCGCAGCGTGATGCAGATGCAATAGGGCAGCAATCCGTACAATGCAGCCCAGCTGAATGCTAACTAGTCCTCTTTTCATTTGGTAGACTACCGAGCCGCTTCTGTTTGACACGCAGCACGAGGACATGATCGTACGTATCCCCTGACCGGAGTCTGAATTGCTCAGATGAAGCACGGAAATTTCAGCACCTGAAACAAAGCAGATACTAAACACGGCCTGCAATTTGCGGAAACTAATGTGTAGCACGATGCGCAGCCGGACTACTACGGAAAGCGACTGGCGACGTGCTCGTCTGACAGCACCATCCACCTGTTTGACATTGAGGGTAACCAGCAGAAGCTGATCGAGGTTCTGAAGGCGCATACGGGCCCGGTATGGCAGGTAGCATGGGCGCACCCCAAGTTTGGCAGTGTGCTGGCATCATGCTCGTACGATGGCACGGTGCTGATCTGGAAGGAGACGCCGGGATCGGGCTTCACAGTTATCAAGAAGCACGACAAGCACCAGGCATCGGTGAACGCAATTGCGTGGGCCCCGCACGAGCTCGGCCCGGTGCTGCTGTGCGGGTCGTCAGACGGCAAGATCTCGCTGCTGACGTTCACAGAGGAGGGAGTGTGGGATGTGCAGATGGTGCGTAGCGCGCACACCACGGGTGTCAACTCGGTGGGCTGGGCACCAGTCATCTCGGCCGGCTCGTTCACACAGCCGGGTGCGACGCAGAAAGCCAGCCTGGTCAAGCAGTTTGCCTCCGGCGGCTGCGACAACCTGGTCAAGATCTGGGGATTCAGCGAGGAGAAGAAGACTTACGAAGTGATCCAGACGCTGGAGGGCCACACCGAGTGGGTCCGGGACGTTGCCTTTGCGCCCAACATTGGTCTGCCGCGCACGTACCTTGCCTCGTGCTCGCAGGACCGGAAGGTCTACATCTGGACACAAGACGCGCCGTCCTCCAAAGCGCCTGGCCAGGCTGCTCCCGTCGAGTGGCAGCGCCAGCAGCTGTCGTCGACGCCGTTCCCCGATGTTGTCTGGCGTGTCAGCTGGTCGCTGTCGGGCAATGTGCTGGCTGTTTCGTGCGGCGACAATAAGGTTACTTTGTGGAAGGAGAACCTGAAGGGCGAGTGGGAGCGCATCAGCGAGATCGACGAGAACACCACCAAGGCCTAAGTCAATTATCCATTTGCCTTACTTCATAAACGTTCATTTTATTCTCCTCCTTTCCTGTCCTTTTTCAAACTATCAAGTCACCAGCCTCGTAGGAGTTGTTCTGCATCGGGTACACATCCTCAGCAAATGGAGGTCTGTGCGGGATGCGGCTGGCTGCTGTGTGTTTCTGCTGCTGCCTCCGGCACTGGTGGCACAGGTCATCATATGCAGTCTATTAAGTAGCACCAAGCGGTAGATGTTAGTGATCAGGGTGGTTTGTATATCGGGTATCATTACTGATATATACGCCCATACCCTGAGGCTTCTTAGCCGGCGGTCCATATCCTCGATTGTGTCGGATGCGACAGCACGTTCCTGGCGCTCGATCTCGAGTGCATTCTGGATCTCAGCCATCCGGTCCTGTGCCACTACATATACCGTTGTAGAATGTGTTTGAACGGCGGCGTTGCAAAAGAGCATTTGTGTGCTGCAAATTCATACCTCTGAGTTTTTTCTGACAACCCACCAATTGACATGGCACTCTGCGATTTTTCAACGCGCAGCCGATCGGTGACAGCACCAGCCTGTGCCATCTGGTATGCTACCTCCTGTGATACCTGGTAGTTCCAAAATGAGATGGCACATATGCATATGTCCAAGATTTCGCGTGGTGCCAAGCCAACTAGCATATATGGTCTATGCTCCTCAGATATGTTCAAGCTCATAGCGATTACATCGCTCCTGTATGGAAAATTGTGAGATATAAGCAAGGCCAGCTGATATTAGCGGGTGGGATATTCATAGTGTGCACTGGTCTGTTGGCTGCTTCCAATACTTACTCGGAACGGATTGGCATCTGGCAGGCTGGGCAGGCTGGAAGTGTCCGAAACGCACTGCTTGAGCACGCCATGCAAAATACATCTACAGCACCGTGATGTGCTATGTGGTTATTGCAGGGAATGAATAAGCCACTGACAACCACGTATTAGCCTTTACTTACGCGAGCATTTAGTAACACATGTTCTCTTCCTGAGGCAGTGACCGGTGACACAGGATATTGTTGCAATGAAGAGGCACATCGAACATTGTAAATAAACCAGAGAAAATCATAGGGAAAGAGTGAGAGAAATGAGGAGAAGCAGAGACAAAGAGCCGTTCTCGAGAGGTCTATAGAGCGAAGGCGGCACTGCTTGCGTGTTTCTTGCTATCAAACATACTCCAGGTTCTCCACCAAGACCTGCCGTATGTGCTGACCAGGAATCATGATCATGCCAACCGAGCGCTGAAAGTCTAAAACAGGGTTGTTGCATTTAAATTTAGTTTGCTGGAGTCCATGTGGTATTTGGTGTTGGTAACTATTCTTTACCGTTACGATGCTCGGTGGTATCGGCTAAAATCAGGTTCTGTCCATAGTCGACGCATTTGAAGATTCCGACAAACTGCCTTCCATCGCTGCACGCGACCTTCATACGGTGGTTCAGGTACGAGCGCAGTTTTGCCTTGTTCGCACTGTCAGGCGTAGCAATGAGTGTCGCAGGTGAGAGCTGTGCACTGGCCAATGTTTCGGACATATCGATGGAAGGAAGAGATAATATTGGAAAGATGGATATCCACTAATTTCACATTCCCGAATACCACCTACCGGTAAACGCCTGCCAAACACAGTTATGGACGCCATTCCTCAGGAATGCATTGGCAGCCGCAGGTAGATATTCCGCGTTGTGCTGTTAGTATATGTGTGTTTTTTAATACCAGCAGAAATTTTACATGGCTACGGACATGCGCGGGCTGAAAATAGACGGTTTTTTCGGCTGGTCGGGGCTTCGACTCCTTTACGTAATTGCGCAGCAGCTTGTAATTGCGGTGGTTGACTTTGAAGATGCTGCGCGCAATCCAGCCGTAAACCGGAACCAGTGACATGATAAGGTGCTTGCTGATATTTCGCTTCATCTCATCGCGCATATAGGTGGGAATGACAAATTGGGACATGATCTCATCTAAGAAGTCGTTGGCATCCATGCTGGTTGTGATTCCGCCGATGACAGGAATGAATGAGACCACTGTGGGTGTATCTGGCCCTGAGCAGCACCGTCCAAGCCGGTTGTCAAGTAAATGCGCCTGCTTGCTAAGCATTCTGAGCCGCCTCTGCTGCTCACGGTAGGAGAGGTCGCTGGGTCGCTGTGGTCGAGACATTGATGCAGATAGATTTGCGGTAGAATAACTAGAGGCAAAAGCTGCGCCGATCCCTGATTCTCTCCAGGAAACCGGATATCAGCCAGCCAGCAGCCGGGATGCCCTGGAAAGCCTCTGTTGCGGTATCATCGGAGTACGGTCGACGGAGGCGTGCACAGCATAGGGTTTGTGCACTGTCCAGGCTTTAGGACTCCCGGCGTGTTTATGTCTGCCACTGTGCAATTTCGTCATCCAAGCCGGATTCAAGAAAAACCCCCGACGCGCCAGCGCACTTTTCAGCCAACCACAGGGCGGCAAGCAGGCAATCCATGCACGTTCTGCAGGCCGTCGATCCGCCTGTTTTCCACCTGTCCTAAACTGCTGAAACTCGCCGAGAGTTGTCGACCCTGGCCATGCCCGAGCAGCAACAGCAGCAGGTGTGCAGAAAAAGAACCAACTTTGGAACACGGTAATTGCAATAAGCAGCATGCCGATAGCATGATGCCATGAAGTCCCCCAATCTGCATGCACGCAATATGCCTTGTGGCAGAGAGTCTTTTCTTGTGCTGCAGCTGCTGGCGCTCTGGGTACTGCAGCCAACAGGCAGCAAATGCTCATAGCAAGACGTTCTAAAGAAGCCACTGGCCAGCCACCAAACTTTTCCACAATGGCCCTGGGAACTGCTCACGCCCACTGTCGTAGCGTGATCCAGATGGAGTGGCTATCTAGGCAGCAACAGCACCAGCAGCAGCGCTTCTCCACACTGCGATGGTGGTGCTGCCGCTGCCGCCTGCTCGCTTTGCGGCTTCTGGCTCCCTCCTCGGCCCAATTTGCGGAGGCAACTCAACACCGAGCCTCTGTGAAGCTCGCATTGGGCAAGGGCTAAAACAGCGATGTGTGCCCTGGCCGGACTTGCAAGGTGTGTGTTTCCAATACGCATATCGCTGGAAAAACTAATGACGCGCAGAGCCAGCCTCTGGCCGGGCTTCTCTCTTGGCTGCTGGCTCACATGCTCTGGCACGCTGGCAGCGCACGCGCGGCCGTGCTGCAGATCCAATTGTTGGCCGCCCTTCTTTCCGCCAATGGCGGCCCATTGAGCGAACGTTCGTTTGTTCGTTGCTCACTACTTTCGCCCAATTTGGGGAGCTGGAATCCAGGCTCGCCACTGGCTATTTAATCCCGTCGGTGTCCAGCCTGGGCGGCAAACCTGCCAGAATCTCTCCTTCGCTCCTCACAAAATTCTCCTCTCCCAGCCCTCTAGGCACCAAAAATTGACAGACACCTGCTTTTCCATACTGCAATGAACGACTCCAGCCCTGCTGTAGTTACCATCATCGAACACATTCTTCCATTCCTCAGCCAGAAGGACCTAGCCTCCTGCCGCCTGGTAAACCGCACATGGTCGGTCCTGGCCACAGTCCAGTCGGCACGTGCCCTTGAGAGCGCCCTAGTGCGGCTGCCTCTGCGTATCCTGCACTACCGGCGCAAGGGCCTTCTCAGCACTATTCGGTCAATGGACATAGACATCAGCTATATCGACGGCTTCCTGTCGGCGCCCATGTACGAACGACGCATCCGCGACGCCATCGAGATGGTCAGCACGATGCTACCCATGGTCAAATCACTGAAGGTGCGTATGCAGCCCACACAGTCACTGCGCAGCCAGAACGAGACGCGGTTTACACGCATGGCGTTCAACATGCTTATGGGCGCGTTCCCCGGACTGGCGGCCCTGGATCTAAGTGAGTGCTCGGTGTCTGTCTTGGACATAGAGCAGGGTAGCCCGTTTGCCAAGCTGAGCCAGCTACAGACGATCAAGTGGTTCACGCTTGGACGCAACGATATGAGCTCGGCGGCGGCGCTGTGCGATCTGGCAAACGCCAACAAACACTCGCTGCAGGTGTTTTATGGAATGGCCGATGGTACCGATCGTGCGATGCGTGTGCTGTGCCAGGCGCCCAAAATCAAAAGGGTTGATATCAGCGGATCCAATGTTTCCGACGAGGCCCTGCTGGAGCTGGTGCGCGCGCGCGGCCACTCGCTGCACGAACTGACGCTGTCTGACTGCGCACGCCTAACCAGGCACAGCATTGGCAATCTGACACCTACTATGCTGCCCAGCCTGGTGTCGCTGGACCTGTACAATGTCATGGTGACGACCGACACGTACCAGCATCTGTTCAACATGCATACGTACTGGCCATATCTGCAGGACCTGAAGCTCAAGGCTGCTATCCCGCACATGTCACCGCGCCAGGACTCGCTAGTCAATGATGACATCCTGGAAGCCATTGGCAGCCGATGCCCGATGCTGGTGTCGCTGCGACTGTTTGGCTGCCACGGCATCACAGACGAAGGCCTCAGCTCGGTGCTGGGCAATCTTGGATATCTCCGCGAGCTGGTGGTCATGCACAGTGCTACCGACCCGCTGGTGCAGAACAACGGCGAGGATGAGGAGAGTGATACTGACAGTGATGCGACTTTCCACAGTGCACGTAGCAGCCGCCGCAGCAGCGCGCGGTTTGAATACAGTGCTACCGAGGAAAGCGGCGACTTGCTCGCCGGAGCCAACGACTCTGGCCACGCCGGGCCGTCGACAGGCGGTTTGCTTATGTCAGTGCCCTCAATCAACGACATCTGGGCCACCATCCCGTCGCTGCCAACACACGGGGTGCAGCAGCCCCCGGCAAACTTGGTGGCGCGTCGGGTTGATAGCTCGCCGCAGTCTACAGCGCCTAACAGCCCGTGCTTGACGCGCTCGCGCAATCAGCGTGTGTTCACATCGCAAGCGCTGAGCCGTGGCGTGCGCTCCCGCCGCTTCAACCTGCTGAACTTGGACATGGAATACGACTCTGTGTGCGCCGAGCACCTGTCGAGGCTCTCGCATTTGCACGTGCTGTGCGGCCGTGTGATCACCCGCCATGCCAAGGCCCTGATTGAGACCCAGTTCCCAAAGTGCAAGATGATGGTCTGGAACATTAACTAAACCATACATGTGCTGCTTTCGCAGTCATGCTGAAACGCCATCTGTCCATTTGCACACAAATACCTTTTAACTTATGCCCGCCACCCACCTCCTTCAATTTTGTGCTCTAGCTTCTGTTCAATTACTGGTCCCTGTAGTTTTTTCATTAATCCAAAGTTATATAAACTGAAAGCTGTATTTACATGAGGAGTTACCTAGGCCTGCTATATGAAACAACATTACCATGCAATCCGGGCAAGGAAACCTGACGGACGAATTCGGATTGTTAGCTTGCGGAGCTCGTCCAGGACAAGAATAACGATGGCGAAAGGCATCGGGATGAAGAAGAACGGTGCCGGGATTTGGTGTGTGCCAAAGATGTTGTTGAACCATGGCACATAGCAAAACAGGAACGTAATGCCGAGTGTGAACGGAATCGCACATAGCAGACGCAGGTTCTTGGTCGGACCCCAGAACGGGTTCTGCTGGAAGACACTGAGACGGCGGGTGCGGGTCGCAAACATATTGCCCCACTGCAAAACCACCAGCGACAGGAAGAAAACCGACTCGCCTGTATTCAACAGCTCGCTCAGCTCCGCTGCAGTCTTTCCGGGGAACTCACCGAGTGTCCACTTGTCAAACGCCAGGAACAGCTGGCTTGGCGAGAACCCGCCCTTCCAGTACATGAAGATGAAGAAGATGACGTGCGCAAACAGCGACTCGAGGATGCCGATGAATCCATATGCCTGGATGAAGAACTTCAAGTTCACCAGGTGGTCGCGCTTTGGGTTACGCGGCTTGCGGTACATGATGTCGCTCTCCGGCGCCTCGTACATGAGTGAAATGCTGGCCCACACGTCAGTGAGCATGCAAATGACGATCATGAAGATAACAGAGAGTGGGAGGGGTACGCCGAGCACCATGTTCAGGAACATTGGAACGAACTCAGAGAACGAGCCAGCCGGCATTAGATATAGGACAACCTTCTTCAGGTTCTCAAAGACAAGACGGCCGTTCTCGATGGCAACAAGGATGGACGAGAAGTTGTTGTCGAGCAAGACCATGTCGGCGGCTTCTTTGGCGACCTCGGATCCACTGCCCATAGCAACACCGATGTGGGCTGCCTTCATCGCTGGCGAGTCGTTGACACCGTCACCGGTGACAGCAACATAGCACTCGCGGTTGCGCAGCTCCTGGACAATCAGTAGCTTCTGCTCAGGTGTCGTGCGCGCAAACACGATCTCGGTGTAGTGGCAGATGATGTCCCAGTGCTCAGGCTGCAGGCCGACGAGCTCGCTGCCAGACAGGACCAGGCTGCGAATGCCATCGTTGCCATGCCCGGCAGTCGTCACGGTTCCTTTGTCAGTCGACGAGTCAATCGACGGCGTCTTCTTCTCGACACCGGCATCGGCAAGAGCACCAGGAGCGTGCTGGAGGGCCTTGGCACGGATGTCGTCGATGGAGTCAACGCGATCGTTGGTGATGATCTTGCACTGGCGCGCAATAGCCGCGGCTGTCAGAGCAAAGTCACCAGTCACCATGAACACGCGGATACCGGCGCGGCGGCAGGTGTCGACAACATGCGGGATCTCCTTGCGCGGCGGGTCGACAATGCCGACAAGCCCAACAATCGTCAGGTCGGTGTTGACGGCAGCGACAACCTCATCGAGCTTGGCCTGGTCATCCTCGATGCCGGCAAACGGGTTGGTGCCCTGGAACTCGCGGCGGCACAGCATCAACACGCGCTGTCCTTCGCCCGACCACTTGCGCTGGAGTCCCTGCAGCCGCTCGAGGTTGTCCTTGTCAAGCGGGAGCACGTCGCCGCTGGCGTTCTGGATCGACGAGCAGCGCTGGAGAAGTACATCCGGCGCACCCTTGACCAGCAGGACCGGCGCAGATGGGGTGCCTGCAAGCTTGCGCAGCGACAGCATCCACTTGTTCTTGGAGTTGAAGGGGATCTCAAACAGCTTGGTGTACTTGGCCTGAGCTGTGGCAACAGGCTGCAGGCGCTCGGCAAACCGCAGGATTGACGAGTCGGTGGCATCGCCGTTGACCCGGCGGTCGGCAATGGCTTGTCCATGGAAGCAGGGTCGAACGACGAGCCGTTGCAGAGTGCTGCGGTGTCGTACAGGCGCTGGACAGCAACATCCTTTCCAGAGTCGAAGCGAGTCTTCAGATCGTCGGTAGACACGTCGGTGTCAATAAAGCCAGCGTGGACGACGGCCATCTGGTTCTGGGTCAGCGTGCCGGTCTTGTCGGAGCAGATGACGTTAACCGAACCCAGGGTCTCGACAGTAGTCAGGTTCTTGACCAGTACATTCTGGCGTTGCATGCGCTTAGCAACAAGAGTCAATGTGAGCGTCAGGCAGATAGGCAAGCCCTCCGGAACAAATGCAACAATAACACCAGCACTATTGACAAGTGCATCAGAGAGCGACAAGAAGGTGGGGAATGAGTGACGGAGCCAGGTGGCCCACAGGACGATCAGGAGGGTGCCGATGGTAAGCGAAAGCGCGGCCACAATCAGAACGAAACGAGTGATTTCAATCTGGAGTAGCGTCTTCTCATTCTTCTTGCTGGCGGTCATCTTGGCAATGCGGCCCATGACGGTGCTGTCGCCGGTACCGATGACAACGCCAGTGCCAGACCCTTGCGTGACATGGGTTCCCATGACGGCAATGTTGCGAGTCTCCAGGTAGTTCTCGTCGGTGTGGTTGATGGTGGCAACAATCGGGTCTGACTCGCCAGTGAGCATTGAGCGGTCGAAGCGCAGGTCGCGCGAGACTTCTATCAGACGGATGTCGGCAGGAATCTTGTCACCGCCGCGGACATGAACGATGTCGCCCTGCACAAGCTCGGTGGCAGCAACGCTGGTCTTGTTGCCGTTGCGCGTAACCATGGTTTCGGTAGGCAGCATCCCGGTGATGGACGCCATGACCCGCGATGTGGTCCACTCCTGCCATGCACTGAACCCAGCCTGCAGGAAAATGACAAGCAAGATAGCAATCCCCAAAGCCAGGTACTGAACGTTGGCTGGTTTACCAAGCGGCTTCCACGAAATCCAGACAAAAATAGCAGCAATCCACAGCAGTGGACAGAACCCACTGAACAGCCACTGGAAGATCTTGAGCCAGATACGGTTAGGCGGTGCGCTCAAAACGTTAGGACCGTCACGCTCGCGGCACCGCTTGATGGCGTTAGTCTCGAGTCCCTGGATGGGACTGGTGCTGAACTTGGTCAGAGTCTCATCGACAGTGTCGAGGTGGAACTTGAGAGTGCTCAGCTCATCGGCAGTGGCACCGAGCTTGGCCTCGTGCTCGGAATGCTCATCTTCGCGCTGCTGGTATCCGCGACGAAGGAACTTGAAGCGGCTGAGCAGAGCGTTATACTTGCGAGTAGGCTTAGCGCCATGGAGGGGGCGAGAGGTTTGGCGGCTGAGTTGGATGCTGAGTGTGCGGTACTCAACCGTCATCTTGCGCTCAAACTTGAGCCCAGCATCGATAGCGGGAGGCTGGCGGCTCTCAGCTATTTGGATTTCCATTCACAATCGAGAGGTGGTTGGGTTTGAAGTGTAAAAATTAGGGAGAGTGTAAAAGGCTATTGGGACATCTCGAGCAGGAGCAGAGGAGCGCAATCAGCTTTATAGCAGTCAAGAAGTGTTTGGAGATGAAGGCGAGGCGCTTGACTACGCAGCATCGGAGTGTGGGGAAAGACACGCGTCTAGCTGCGGTTGTCATTTGCAGCGGATACATTTGGTAAGCTCAACCACCTCTAGGTTTTGTTTGAAAAATTCAAAGCACGGCCTCCTTGTTTGATGAAAATGGCTATGTTCTCTCCGTATGCTGGGAATCTTCGCCATTTGCATCTGTAAAATACCTGAAACACAATTTCAGGACGAGTCGATCACCCCCTCCCTCATCTGATGCGAACAAATTATGTCTTTTGCAACACGCTTCTCATGCCCCTTCTATACCAGCAATGCCAACTTTTCGGCTATTGCCACGCCTATTACGGCACTACTAGTCAGGCATGTGTTTTTTGCCCCCTCGATATCATGGGTCTATCGCTTCATCTCTATGATGTACGAAGATACTCACATTATGCACAGTTTTCCAGTGTTTCTGCTGTATAAGCAGTTTCTGAAGAACCTTAAACTTGTACGTCGAATACGAGATGCTTTCTTCAGATAAACAGAAAGGCCTTTGCCTTTTCTCACTTTAGGATACCCCTCTACCTTCTAACCTGGACAAAAGCAAAGATCGGCACATATGAAACTTGCAATCAAGTTGGATTGCCCAGTAGGTTGTGTACGAAGCTGCATGGTCAAAGAAGGGGCTAGCTTCATGACGCGGCAGTGCGAGTCGGCATACTGAGCTGCAGCTTGGCCATTTTTTCATGCACCCGTGCGTTCATCGTGCATATAGTCCGAATCTGGCTGATTCGATTGAAGTGCCAAATGCATATTTGGATCACGTTTGATAACATGATTCGATTTCTTCCAAATCACATTGCAGCGATTGGTGCTCAGAAGACCTGGAGCAGTGGGTAGTTGGGATGACACCGAACCCACGGTGACAGATAATAAAACACCCTTGGTAAATGTGGATAAGGAAATTGAACAAGACCATGTTCGTGATAATACATTAAACGGATTTGGGTGTGCATCTAAGTGGATGGAGATGATGAGCCCGGGAATAGCCTGCTGTCACCACCAACCACCGTGACTGGGCAAGGCGAATTCTCAATCAAGTAGTTGACCTTGCACCCGATAAAGCGCTCCTTCATGGACTTTGACGCGTGTCTTCCCATGATCAGCATGTCGCACTTCAGCTCCATCAGCTTGCGCACCAGCTCGCCGCGGATGTCAACGCTGCGAATCGAGACTCCCTTGATCGGATACCCTTCGGCCTTGATTATCGACGCATACTTTTTGAGAAGCTCATGGCTCTTCTCGCGCTCCGCGACCTCCTTGTCGGAATTGGATGACACAAGGTCGCCAATGAGCCCGTTTACTGCTGGCCGTACGTTGATGAGCACCACCTTGTCACGGCCCGGAACCAGTGCTTGACGAATGGCCCACTCGATGATATCGATGGTCTGTGGGCTGTCCTTGATGGCAATAGCAACAAAACGCTCAGGCTTGGATGGTTTGGTCTTGCTTCTTCTCTGGCGCTGACGCTCTCTCTGCAATGCTGCCTCAGGATCGACGTCGGGGATCTCGATCAACGTGCCTTTACGGAACAGAGTGGGATGGCCGACGCCTAGCAGGGAATTCGGGCTCTGCGCGCTTTTACCCAGGCTCTTGGCAACCAGCTGATCGTAGATACTGTCCTTGTCGCCGCTGGTCGCTGTGCTAGGAGAGCCGCCCTTGCTGCTCCCTGGGATGCTGATTCTGGGCGGCTGACTAGACTCAGTTGTGCGTTCAGCCATTATGCTTGGATTTGCTTTGTTGTCAGAGTATTTCTAGTAGTCAGTAAAGAGAAATGCTTATAATGCACCGAGCACGGTCTGTAGGAATGGCAAACTGGTCGGTTTAGCCAAAATGCTTCCCTACTGGCGGAAATCGCACCGCATGTCATGCAGCGATATCGACCACTGTCAATACTTTATCGGAACACATCAAGGACGTGGCCTGCTGCTGCTAGCTCCTGGGGTTGTGGTTAGTTCGTCGGCGAATGCATCCTGTTTCAACTTGTGGTGCGCTATCACGGCAGAGTGGATCTATTGCTATTCAAGTACTGGCCAGTGGGAAAACACTGTTGTGAAACCCGCCGTCTGTGTACACCCAACCTCTGCATCTCCCCCAATTTAGCAGTAGCTGACGCTCTAGCAGCCGTCCTGGGCCAAGTAGGCGGTGCTTTCAGCAACACAGCGGTCGCAGGTGCACACAAAGAAGTAATGTTGCTGGAGCCGCTCACGCCTTTCGCCGACATCCTCAAAGACCGATCCATACGAGATAAACATCTCCTCGCCCTGCCTGATATCATGCAGGCACACAAACCTGATCTGGCGCCCCTCTCTAACCTTGAACACGTTGGGCGCGCAGGAGTGGTTGAAATATACCGCAGTGGGGTAGATGGCAAACCCCAGCATCTCATGCTCCTCCCCATCTCGCTGGTCGTCAGCTGGGTTTTCGCTAGGGAAGGGGTCGTTTGGATCCCAGATGCCAAACGAGTTTGCCATCTCGCGGTAGTAGACGTCGCGGAAGTCGGCATGCTCCAGGGCGGGCAGCTGCTGTGCCTCGATGGCCTGCTGCCAGGCGCCGTTGAGCAGCCAGAATGTCTCAGCAGCAACGCGGAAAAGCGCACCCCAGCCCGTCAGGCGGATTTGTGCTGCCGTTGGGACCAGCGGAAGATGGATTGGTGCAATAGTCGCAGGATTGGACGCATCCCCACCCTCGCTAGACCGGGTTAGCTGTAGCGAGTAGAGCTCGCTGCGGAGCCAGTTGACTTCATTCGGCTGCATGTGCTCGAGCGACTCGCAAGGAGCAACAGGCTCGGCGGCGACGGACCGGCGTACCATGTCTGCAGCCCACATGGTCGGATCGGAGCCGCACACCGGTTTACTATTGCTATTACTGCGTTTATTACTTCGATGACACAGGGAGCCTGCGATCAGCCGCGCGATCTCGCGGTAGGGGCTGTCCGGCAGGCCGCCGATGAAGATGCGGTCCTCGATGATTGAATCCCACACGAGCATGATCCACTGCGCCAGCTGGTCGTCCGAGGCGTCGTCAGGGTTGAAAACCTCGTCTGTCAGCGATTTGCCCTCGCTGAACACCAAGCTAGCCTCACACGACTTGGGCTTCTTTCCTTTAGCGGCCTTGGTCATTCCCTTGCTGGCTGTGGCCTTGAGACGCTGGGCCTCGGCCTCAATAGAGTCTAGGACTGCGACGTAGCGCTGCCACGCGTGCCCACCGCCATGGGATGCAATGGCATTCTCCTGGCACTGCTCCGAGCAGAAAGCGCCCTTGTAGTGGCATGCCTGGTGGTGCTTCGTGCCGCCAGGGGCCGACACCTTCAGGTGGTGCTTGCGGCGATCATCAAACTTGAAACACCAGGCACATGTGTTGCCGACCCAGTCCTCACTGATCGCACAGGCCAGCGGCATGGCCTGGAACACCTCATCGCCGCGAGTGAAGTCCCTGTCCGCAAAGAATCCACGCCCGCGACCCGGAACATGGTGGATCCTGACTGGGAAATTTTCCGAGTCGTCGTTAGTCACAGAAGCACCCTGCGCAGTCTGACCACTACTAGTGCCTGGCGCAATGACCCTTGCATCGGATAATTTTCCGGGTGGAACTGCAGTTAGGGCGTTGGCTGAGAGGATAATCGACATTGGTGCCTTTTAAAGGTTCAGAAACAGTAGCTGGCTGGTATTGCGACACGATATGAATGAAAGCTGAGGGAAAAGAAACGGCGTATGAGTATCGGCTGTTTTACCTTGGCTTTCAAATCTCCTCTGCCTGCCGCTGTCTTCTGCAAGAAAAACTATTTGCTCTGCTAGCATTCCCCCAAGGTTTCAGGCATGACTCGTTCCAGTACAAACAATAGCCTCAGAAAAACGAGTCGAGTTCGCTGCAGGGATGCTCCAGGCTAGCCCGCTGATAGGGCGCAGGCCACACGTGTAGGATGAGTCTGCCAGTCCTTTGCTACAGCAGGCTCAGCGATATTTGTTGGGCTGGTGGCGGTGGCGAGTCCTCAGGGTGGATCAGCAGAAATCGCAGTAGGCTGGCGAGCCACAGATATGGTGGACGCACTGCCGCTGTTTGGCGACATGCTGCTGGCGTCGCAGAGAGTTCCATGGTGCACATGCTGTACACCATGGCTTAGGCTGGCCAGACGCGAGGAGGGCGCTTGGACCTGTTTTGCGGATCCACTAGCGATCGACCTTTTATACGGCAAAGGGCGAGCGGACCATTGCCAATGCACATGACGCACATCGCCTGTTTGCCCGCCAAGCACGAAAGTGTGAAAGCTGCAGCTACAATAGCGCAGAAAAATGTGTTTTCGAGTATTTTGAAGGCGCTTGCACCTTTTTTGTTCCGCTCACGCGTTTCATTTTAACACTCGTCCTACTTCCTCCTCTTTTCCCTCTACATTTGTTTCTAACCATGAAGTTTACGACTATTGCGCTTTCACTGCTTACTGCTGTCAGCGGATACACGATCCTGGACAGCGCCACGTTCGCCTCGGAGACCAAGGACGGAATTTGGCTGGTGAAGTACTACTCGCCTACCTGCCCGTGGTCGCGCCGCTTTGCGCCAACATGGAAGCAGGTGTCGGGAGACCTGCAGGACAGCCTGGGCATGAAGGACATTTACTTCGGTGAGGTCGACTGCAAGGCTAACCGCGCGCTCTGCGACAAGGCCGACATTGACGGCTACCCGACCGTCGTGCTGTACCGCAACGGCGTCAACGAGGGCGAGGTCCCCGGCGGACAGTCCTACGAGTCGCTGAGCAGCTTTGCTCTGAAGCTCTAACTTTTTTGCAGCTGGTATCGGCGACCTCTATGTACTGTTTCTAAGTAAAAGAGCAAACT